AAAAAAAAAAAAAAAGTTGCTGCTAACCCACCTTCTAGACCAACATGAAATACTGAGTTAATTAAAATAAATAAATAAATAAATAAAGCTTACCTAGTCCTAACTTTTTTTTATGACTGCAAAATACTGCTTTGGTGTTCTTTTGCTCTGTAGTTTTCCTTTCTAGTATCACTTTACCAAGAAAGATTTTTCTTTTATGCCTGTAGCTTTCTCAACTGTTCCTGTTTCCAGTATCTCTCAGCAGCCAGCTACTCTCCTGATGCCAAAGAACAATGTGTAATGTGGAAAATGAGCCATAATGCACTCTTCTGGTAACATGACTGGACATACCATTTCACATGCGAATTGGCTCAAGTGATGTCAGTTATTTTTCTCCAGATAGTACTGGTTCTTTCTACATCTCTTTCTCCAGCCAACACAGGCATCTCTGCCTGTGGGCTTACATCCACCTGATGAGACAATGCCAACTTTGCATGGGGTTGTACTGGCTTGGAGACCTAATGTTCCTCCAATTAGACATTTTATCTTTCCTGTTCTGGACGGGATAGTGCTGAGCTGGCAGATGAGATTAAACCACGTGCTGTTTAAACCTATAGCCAGAGTACTTTCTTCAGCATGTGCTTTCTGTTTTGCAGTTGGAAGCAGGCAAAAAGGAGAGCAACAAGTAAGGGCTGTTGGAAAAGAGAAATGCGTGTATTTCTTTTGGCAAGGAAGGCACTCCACAGTGAGTGAGAAAGGGACATCAGCACTGATGACAGTGGAACTTGATGAAGAGAGAGGAGCACAGGTAAGCTTCCTGCAGACCTAGCTGGCAGACCTGGTAAACTTGCCTGCCCACGTAACCACTAATGGTAAATGCGGATTATCTTTTTTGCCTCTTCTCTTTCTGTAAAGGTGTTCTTGCCAGTACAAATAGCCAGACCTCAAAATTACTTTTGGCTTTATTCCAACTTCCAGAGACACATAAGCTCCTTTATGGATTGTCATTCCCAAATCCCACTTATTAAGATGATATTTCTGAACATGGCTGAAGGAGAATGTCTTCTCTCCCTGCAGGAATAGGTGAAGCCCAGTTAAACAAATTTGTGCCTTCATTTCAAGTACATGTTCAGGTAACAGGACTGTCTTCCTAGTGCTGAGAACAGGAGAAGCACTTTCTGCCAGGTTAAGGCATGAAACTAAATTAGAAATTTTCAATCTGTTTACTCTGCAATTACATATTAGATTGCCTTGTTTTGCAGAGATTCTAGCAACTGCAGATTCAGCTGGTTTGAAGCTCAGACAGTCTAGCTTGCTTTGTCTTTAGGCAGAGTTGGTCTTTGCTGTGGCTTGGCTGTTACCAGCATACAAGATGGGAGGTTTAAAGTTAGTTTCTGTACCTTGATAATGCTGAAATTAGTTTTTTAACAGCAGCATAGACGTGACCAGTAAGACAGGAGTTCATAGAGGAGATATGTAAATACACTTGACCCAGAGTGTGGGATTCTGTGCAACACAGCTGATAGATCATCTGTCTATAAAAATTCCATAATCAAAATGCAGTTCATTGAGAGCAAAGAACATGCATGTTGTCATATAAACCACCTTTACAGCAAATTTTGAACCTAATTCAGTTCCTACATTATCTCCATAATAGTTTCAAAGAACATCAGGCAAGATGGCCCAGTCCTGTAACGCATTCAAATAATAGTTAAACTAATTTAAATTGAAGTTTATTTTGTATTTCTTATCCTCTGAAACTCTTTATTGTTGGATTCCAGCTAGAGGTTTCTTTTAATGTGCAGGTCACATATGAAACCCATTGCATGTTGATATATAAGGTAATTTAAACAATAGTCAGCAGTTGTTAAGTAGAAGGAAAGCCATCTTCATGGGTGGCCATAACTATATAATTTTTAATAATCCATAGAGACTAGTTTTTCTGAGTCTGTATACTTGTTTCATTTTTTTAATGAAGAGTGGTGCTTTCAATTTCCAGGTACAAGTGCTTCAAGGGAAAGAACCGCCATGCTTCCTGCAGTGCTTCCAAGGAGGGATGATTGTGCATGCTGGAAGAAGGGAAGAGGAAGAAGAAAATGCACAAAGTAAATTACTGTTAGTTAAAAGCTTCTGCCCCAAAATCTTTTTTACCTATTGTGAAGGGCTTTGAATTCAGTTTCAACTACTGTACTCAGTAGAAAAGGGAAATGAATGCCATGAAACCCATGAGACAGCTTTGTAATGCTTTGTTTCAAGGTAGTTTGTTTCTTCTTTGAGAATAGAATGGATTTTGTCACCCTAGAGCAAGCTGACTTTATTGTTTTCATATATATATAAATTGTTCTAGTTGTTTTTTAATTAAGCAAAGTGCCCATTTGCTTTAAAATACGTTCTTTTCTACATAGTTTGGGCAAAAGAGTATTTTTATGAGCAGTTCTCCTGTTCCAAGGAGAACTCTAAGCTTTTGTTATCTATTCATTACTTTTTGCAACATATTCCTTGAATGCTGCAGTTGAAGTAGGAGAATTTCAATGCAAGTGTGGCTTGGATATGTTCCAGTTCGGATCTGATTGTGTCCTCTTGTGCCCAAGGTGCACAGGGGAAGAGGAGCTGAATAGAAGGACTACTGTATTTGTTCCCCACCCCCCCTTTTTTTTTCCCCTTGTATGAAACAGAGCAGAAACGTGACTCTTCTGCTGTGTTAAGCTCTTCAGCTGTTAATACTTGTACTCCTGTAGCAAGTTTTCAGAAGGCATCTTTTCTGCAACAGGGTTTCTCAAGTAGTGTTAGACAAACCTGATGCTTAGCTAGTTTATTCTGTGACAATACAGACATGAGATACATGAAATTCATCGAGTATGAGAACAGCTGTTCAGAGCAGAGGTCTTGAATTTTGAATCCCATGTGACTATATAATACCGCTGCACTGTTCCTGTCTGCTCCAGGTGACTGGAGGCTATATTGCGTGCGAGGAGAAGTTCCCAATGAAGGAAACTTACTTGAAGTAGCATGTCACTGCAGCAGCCTGCGTTCCCGGACATCCATGATTGTCCTCAATATAAATAAAGCTCTTATCTACCTGTGGCATGGCTGCAAAGCACAATCTCACACCAAGGATGTAGGAAGAACAGCAGCCAATAAAATAAAAGAACAGTGAGTGTCTGACCTGTATTTTGGAGGTGTTTATGCAGGCTACCAATTTACTTAAAATAGTCTGGCTCAAAGAAAAGTTGAAATAAAGCTGTCCTCTGAGTACAACTACAGCATGTGCATGCTTGGTAAGGAGGAGGAATGATGGGTAGTGGATTTGGTGGAGTGGGGAAAACACATATTCTGTAATCACTTTCACTTAAGGTCAAATGGACTTACTCGTCCTACTGTACTAATTGCAGTTGCAAAAAAACAGTCTCTTTCCATTTAGGGGGAGATGCTCAATGTCTGAATAGCAAACTAAATCCCAGTTGATAGGAGGATTAGAATCAAGCCTTGTGAATAAGGAAGAGGAAATTAATTTGGGCAAGCATGCGAGGAGGACAGCAGTAGTTACAAAAACAGGCAGCAAGAACCCCTACTGAGAGCTCATGTGAGCCTCTCCTCCACTCTGGGAATGGGGTCAGAAATGGTACGAGGATGGTTGCTGAAATTCCGTATCTAGTTATTGATAATTTTTATCATAATTTTCAAAAAGCCTATGTTGACATGAAGTGTACAACAAGCCTATAGGGTGCTTTTGGGTTCTAACAACGTAAGTGGCCAGCAAGTTTGTGTTAGCTGTGTTTGGGGCAGGAAAGCTGGGTTCACTTTCTTTGTGTTTTGTAGATGTCCGCTGGAGGCAGGGCTGCACAGCAGCAGCAAGGTGACGATTCATGAATGTGATGAAGGGTCAGAGCCCTTGGGATTCTGGGACGCATTAGGAAGGAGAGATCGAAAGGCCTATGACTGCATGTTGCAAGGTAGACCTGCATTCCCGGATTTGGCACTCACATTTTATTTTACTGGTCTATGGTATTGTGAGATTTAATGTAAAGCTTTTGAAGCACTTCTTGGTAGTTGAGATGATCCCTTCAGAGAGAAGTTTTCAAAAATCTACTGACTTAAGTAATACTGTTCGAGTAGGAAAGTGCTGAAAAACCTAGTGTTTCATTTTGTTCTCTCCCCCTTTTGCAGCCCCTCTGTATTCATGCAGCACAGAACAACCATTAACACTGTTACCAACAGATTTTGCTTCCCTTCTGAAGGGATTTAGGAGGCAGTTCTGCACACATTCCTGTCCAGTCTTTGCTTTGAAACTGCCAACAAAGGTAGCAGGGGAATTGATTTACCAAGTGGAAAATTTGTCAGCTAAAAAGTAAATTCTGAGATGGGCTTGCTTCACTTAAGCTGCAAAACAGCCAGTTATGAAATGGCTGATAGTAACTAGCCAAGATCAGATTCAAAGTGATGGCAGCCAGCCTTTTAGCTCAAGTTCTTCACAGCTGTTGCTAGTCCCCCAAGACATATGGTCATCTTTCTTTATTTTTCAAAAACCAAAGAATTTACAGTCACTCTAAAAGTTGATTGATTTATTTCTGTTTCTCACATTAATCTCTGGCATTTTCTATTGGAAATCTTACTAATTTTTGTTCTTTAAAGATCCTGGAAAGTTTAATTTCACCCCTCGCCTGTTCAGCCTCAGTAGCTCATCAGGAGAATTCTCAGCCACCGAGTACGTTTACCCTTCAAGAGACCCTGCTGTCATCAATTCCATGCCATTCTTGCAAGAGGATCTTTACACTGCCCCACAGCCAGGTATATGCTTTGAAATACTTGAGTAACAAGAAAACAGATAACTGAATCCTGCATTGGGTAGTGACTCAGTAACTTGTAATCACTTTTCACTTGATTTATCGCAGGAAAATGTGTGCATGTGATGCTTATACAGCATTAAGCAATAACAGTAATTTTTCCATTATAAAGTTGCTGAGAACTAATCAAACATACATGTATCCCAAAAGCTTGCTATAAAAATACATTGTTTATATCGGAGAATCTGAGTTCAGCTGAGATTCAGCTGGATGAGTAACAAAAGGGATTGGCAAGCTTTGAAATGATCCTGTCCTGATGCTGACAAGCATGTAAGACTGGGGTTGTTTTGGGGATTCTGAGAATTGGGAAGTGGCTGACGATGGATTTGTTACTTTCGGCTGTGTAGCCCTGTTCCTTGTTGACAATCACCATGAAGTGTACCTGTGGCAAGGCTGGTGGCCTGTGGAAAACAAAATCGCTGGATCAGCTCGAATCAGGTGGGCTACAGACAGGAAATGCGCCATGGAGACAGTGCTCCAGTACTGCAAAGGTAACAGATTGTTGTACCTGGCTGTTCCAAGTGTGTCATACCTTTCCATGCTTTACTGTCCCAAGCTGAAAGGTACTTAGGTGCTCCCCCAACATTATTGATAAACATCACTGTATTTGAAGATACATCCTCCGCTCTTTCTTAGCGAACTATTTGCCTAATAACGGCATTGTTCTCAAATTGTCAAGATACTTTGCTGACTCAGTTCTCGGAGGAAAGGCTTTATTTCTCTTCTGTGTCCCTACTGTGGGAGAATAGTTCAGACATCAGAACCCTGAAAGTGAATTCTGAGAACACAGCCTCTTAAACCTCAATGCTTTCTGTCTAGCTCCTCTCAGATTAAGCTTCTGTGTATCAAAAGACTGTATGAAGACAGTGTTTGCTGATGTAACTGGGTTTGATTTAGTGGGGGAGGTGGAAAGAATTTGAAGATGGAGAACAAGTCTCACATGGAAACAGGTGGCCATTGGAAATGCTGAAGCACAGAGCCTCTGTGCTTGTCTCTACAAGACAGAGTTATTGCCACTCAGTGTGCAGTGATTAAAGCTGCAGATTGATGTACACTGACTAGAATATTTTCTGCACTAGTAGAGTTTACTTGAGACACCATAATGCTTTCCTCTCACTTCATCTAAGGTAATGTGAGGCTGGGAACAGACCTTGCATCTTCTGATGGAGGATGAATAAAGAAAGGTATGGGGTTACCATCCAGGAGAGAGACATGTTCTGTTAGTTCAGAGCAGTTTCCCACTGTGAATAAGTCACTAGGGCTTAACTGGTGCAAACTCTGTCCTCTTGCGAGGAAAGCCTGATTGCTTATAGACCTTCAGACCTCATGATGCCACTGATTTTTTTCTGTAGCAAATAAATGTTACAACTTGTGACACAGATGGTGGTAACTGCCATCTTCTCCCATAGACATTTGTATATTGGAAGAGGGAAAGCGGTATCCTTGTTGCATTCCACCTTTATGAAGATAAGACAGTGTCTCCTTCCCAATCTGCAGGTCGGTTAGGAATAGGAGCAAGTGTTGTGTTTGTACTTAGTTGTCGCTGAGGGGAGGTGGTAACACCCAACAGGAGACAGCTGAAAACCAGTACTGGAGACACTGAAACATGACCTTTATTGGACCGTTACTGCTTTATGTGGTTCATCTTCTGGTGTCCCTGGCACTGTCCTGCCAAAGGGCAGCATTCGTTTAGGAATGGGGTGCTAAAGACAGGGCAGTAATTGGAAGAGTCTTTAGCAGTGACTGCTGAATTCCTGAAGAGGCCAGTTACTTGTTCTCCACCACCCCAACCCCCAGTTTTTGCAAGTCAGAAGGAGCGATAAGATGCATTTCTTTTAAATCATTTCATACGATGCGTTTCACAGCAGAAGTGCATGTCAGCGTAGAGGAACAGAGCCCCATGCAATGAAGTGCCCAGAGTTGCTCAGCAGGCTAGTGAGAGAGAAGGAAGTAAGATCCCAGTCTAGTGTTCCTGATGCAGTGCTGTAATCTTCTGGTAACGAAAATCATGTTTTCTGGCCCCAGCAGAGATGGAATCAGATACATATGCTGAGGTTTGGATACTGTTCCAGATTTCTTGAACTTCGAGTTTGATGATGAGAAAAGGGCTTAATACCTTCTGCACTGAATTGAATTTGCTGCATCCAAGTTTGATGCACAGTGGAAAGCTCTTCAGTGACTCCTCGGGGATCTGAAGTTTAGCATATGTATCATAGGACAAGTGTTTTTGCTGGGTGCTCACTTCTTTACCTCTGGCCATGACTTTGCAGCAGTTGTGGCTTTCATCCTCTTTGCCATGGGATTCTCAAGAGCTTTGGGCTGTGTGGTTGGATAGATACAGAGCAAGTTTGTTACTGTTAAAGACCGATTCTACTTGTACTATTTCTATGCTAAAGCTGATGTGAACTTTAGCAGGTTTCTACTGTTTAAACTATGCTGTTCTGGTGGTCTGTCACTTTCATGATCTGGGATTCTGTCAACCACTTAAAAATTTCATTGCATCAAGCTGTCAGGGCTGACTAGCTCTTATGTGTTGTTACTTAGGAAGGTGGAGAAATTGAATTTTAGGAGATACCGATGCTGCTGCAATTATTTTGACTACCAGAATGTAGTTGAGTGATCAGAAGTATTAAAACACTTTTCTCTTAATTTTTCTCCCTCCATTTCTTTCTTTTATCTATGTCCCTCTCCCGCTTTGCCCCTCTTTTTTTTTTTTTTTCTTTTCCTGACTTGCAGTTTTTAACTACATGATGGTATGAAAGAGATTGATTAGCAACTCTGGATATCCCTTGAATATACCTATCAGTTCTCCTTGTGCATAAATCTTATTTAACTTGTCAAAATGTCTTGGAAGTTTTTCTGGAGTTTTATCTGATAAATCAGCAGTCTGGAGAGCTGAGCTGCAGACCGCTAGGAGAAGGAAGAATCTGGTTTGCCCTTCAGTGATTCTTAGGGAGGAGATCAGCTTGTGCTGAGGGCAGAGTTCATGCAATGAAGATGTTTCTCCACTTACATACAAATTCATCTTACCTGTACTGGAAGATAGCAAGTGCCACTCTCTTTTTATTTCTTGGCTGCATTACTGAGAGTGGAGCAGTGCAACTAGAGCAGATTCACACATTTTTAAAATGCAAAGTGTTTAAGTGCTTGTTGAATCGTTCATGGCAGAATGAATTAATAAACCACAGTGAAAATATGTCGAAGAGAAGGCTTAAAATCAAGTATTCAAATGATAAATCTCCTGTCTAAATTGTAGTTAAAGCACTCACATTGTAATACGTTTATGTAAGACTACTGCACAGAGCTTTTATCACTAGTATTCAGAGTTTCATGTGAACATACTCTCTCTAATCCATTTGCTCCCAACATCTGATGTAAAGCCAAACCTGTAATGCTCAGGTTTTGCAAAGCTAATGGAAGGGTGACATACAGCCAGGCTCTCCGTTTGTGCTCAGCACCGGTGTTGCCTCTGTTCCCTGAGGTGCTCCTCAGCAATGGGGAGGAGGGGGCTGTGTTCTTTTAGACCCTCCTGCCTGACAGCCCACACACATCAACTGCAGGCAGGGGCTACAGTAAAAAACAGGGTCTTCTGTAATGGATTTATACACTCTGGAAGAAATCTTAGTGTATTAAAGATGCTTTGAGATTGAATGTAGGGAATAACAGGATTTTGCAAGAAGCAGTTCTTTGGGAAGCTACAGCCCTCAGAAGTGAGGTGGTGTCACGTTGCTCTGTTAGTTTTACCTGATTCTGGACTTTGCAACATCTTCAACTTTTCCATTGCCTGTCTGGAAGAAAGATTTGATTAGACTGAGTTGTTTGAATCCAAGTAGGATGAAGGTACAATGTTTTCTTTTGAATAATAGCTCCTCCTAGTCCCTGACTGCCTGTCTACCTCTTTCCAGTAACATTTGGAGTTTATCAGTGCTTTGAATCCTTGTGGAATGAAATCATTCAACCATCAGGGCCTTTTTTTCACCAGTACTTGGCATAATGACTTTAACCACTTAATGTGATACGGCATCACTAGGCAGGGTTACATCCATGTCCTATATAGTGTGCACACATACATGTTTTAAAGAAGCAGGACTGTCCTTGAAAATCATCAGTAATTATCATCCAGCTATTGCAGTACTACTTTTAACTTTCAGATCCCATTCCTTTGATTTTGTAATAACAAAGTTACTGTATTAGACCTCAGTATCCCAAGTTAACAGTTTAAACATTCTCACTTAAGCCTCTGAGCTTAAGCTTTATTTGCTACTGGCAGGACACTTCTGCTGAGCATACCAGAAGGTTTCATTTACCGGAATTTGGCTAATTTCAGACTGTCACACTCTGCTTACTCTATTCTAACTGTATTTTAGTAAGGTAAGAAATACATTGGGTTAGGAAGTAACTGTGGGGGATTTCCAGTATACATGGTTTGATCTTTGTGGTCAGATACAGTTAAAGGCAGATTTAAGAATACTGATAAAAAGGTTTAAAGGTGCCATATGACATTAAAAAAACATCCTGGTGAAATTTATTTCCACTGCCTTAAATTACTTCAGCTTTTCAAGAAAGAATCAATTAACATGCTTATGAGGTAGCTTTGGATAGTGGGTGATGTTGCAAAATATGGTACCATTTGTAATTTATCTTTTTTCTTTTTTTTTTTTTTTTTTTTGACTGTTTTTAGGAAAAAATGTAAAGAAGCCCCCAAAATCCTATCTGATTCATGCTGGCCTAGAGCCTCTGACCTTCACTAATATGTTCCCAAGTTGGGAACACAGGGAAGACATCGCAGAGATCACAGAAATGGTAAATCTTTTCATTGCACAGACTGTTTGCTATTGCTAGTAATTGTGTCTTTTGTTGTCAGTAACATTGCTTACTTCGCTGTCAAGTCCCAAAATGCAGAGAATGAACTTAAAAATTACAGTTCAGTAGTGTGCACAGGAAAAAAATAACAACATAGCTAAATTCTGCCAGGAGTGTGGCTATCAGAGGCATTCCTTTTTTTTTTGGTTGTTTTTTCATGTAATTTCTCATACTCTTTTTTTTGTTAAGAACAGGAGGAGAGTGTTACCTGAGTCATCTTTGAGGGATCTGGACAGGCTGGATCGATGG